TTCGTTACACATTTACCCAAATACAAAATGTATAACTTTGACGTTAATAACGATTTATACTTGGTAATTCTTCTTAATATAATAAACTTTTTTAATAGTTTGGCAACCATCGTACAAGTGCTTCAAAAAAGTTGATGTAAATTTGAAAAAACTTAAAACATTATATGTTTTCAGAAAAATTGTCTCAATTTTCATATTGTCTGCAAACAAGACTACTTTTAGAAAAAATGGCATGGCATGACAACGCATAGAATTGGCAATAGTTTACCCCTATATTAGGTTTGGCAAAGGTAACCCAAAAAATTAACATTATATAGCCAAACTCTAAGTAACCCTAGTTTCTTATTTATTCTCTCTCCCCGTATTTTTTCTTCTCTCCCGTATTTCTTCTCCAATCTTTTCTTTTTTTCTTCTTCTTCAATCTAGCAAACTTTCTTCTTCAATCTGGATTTGAAAGAGCATGTATTCTTTGATAATGTTTGAGAAGTTGTAATGGTTGATACATTTTTCAAAAAATATTACAGATTCATGGAGATGAGGAGAAGCGGAGAGCGAATGCTTTTACGAATAGTAAAGGGACCGATTGACACTGTCATAATAGATACAATCCTAATGTGAACCCATTTGATTTCTCGTGTCTCCAGTACAACCCAAATTGAACGAATGGAAAGTTCCTTCAACTAATTTGAGAATAGATATTTTTCTTGTGTTATTTGTCACACGGCCAATTCTCGGTGTTGATGGATGAATTCATCCGCATTCTTTTTTCTTTCCTCTTTTTAATTTTTTTAATTAAAAACTAGTTCTAATTCTCATCTTATATATCAATGTATCTCTAGCATATATATTTCTGTATATCCACAAGAACTTATGTGTGATACACTGGGATATACAAAGGAAAAAAAAGTAAATATTTGATAAATAAAGAAGAAAAATACATTTCTGAGATATATATTTTGATATACACAAAGAAAGAAAATAAACTTGTGATATACATTTTGGTATGCACATTATTTGATGTGTTATACACTTGGATATACAAAAAATATAATTATTTTTATTGTGATTTATATTGATATAGAGACAACAATATATTTTAAATAACTATTTTTGTAATTTTATATTCTAAATATACAAAGAAGGAAAATAAAATTTAAATATATATTTTGATATAGACAAAGAAGGAAATAAAATTGTGATATACATTTTGATATACATATTATTGTTGTGATGTATATTTATTGGCCATCTAAAGCCAATTTCTATAAACAAGGCTTTTTTCTGCTAATTATGTGGGCATATTGTCATACTATGCAAAAATCCCCTACTTTTATGAATTATAACATTTAAGGCCCATTTAAGATAATGGATCTTGGAACAAACCAAAAATTAACTTAACTCACCCGCATAAGCTAAAAATGTTGGGTGAATGACATAATTACCTACAAAAATAAAATTATTTATCCTTACCTACCTATTTATTTTTCTACCCATCAAACTAGTTACATTTCCTACCCATAGTAATTTTTGTAGGGAATTTTCTCTTTTTTTCTCCAATTCTTTTTTATTTCTATGCTTCTTTTCTTTTTTCCTTTTCTTTTTTCTCATATTTTTCTTTTTTTTTTCTCTTTTTCTATCCATTTATTTTTGCCCAAATCATATTATTATTATTATTATTATTATTATTATTATTATTATTATTATTATTATTATTATTATTACCATAACTTATTTCACACTCAATTTTGACTCCTTAATTTTTTTTTTGTTTATTTCTTGTTCCTTTTTTAATTTCATTCAACTCCTTTTTCCTTTTATTTTATTTATTTCTTATTCCTTTTCTAATTTCATTTAACTTTTTTTTACATTTTTTTTCTCATCATAACCTAATTTCATTTACTGTTTTTATTATTTTTTATTATTCTTGTTTTTATTCAATAAGAAAAAATAATTGATATAGTAAATATTTGTTCACCCTTTTTCTAATATAATTAGTATAATATACCTTTTTTCTTTTTTTTTTTGATTTTTTTAATTCAATTATTAAATTGAAATAATATCACTTGTATCTTCACTAAATATCACAATGACTACTGCATAGCGTAGCATCTCAATTCCCAAAGTCCATCCCGTAATTATCCCTCTCATCTTCTATCCACAAACAAACTCCATTGAATAGAAACCCAAATAAATCAAAGGTTTTGAACCAGTGTAAAGTAGATGCACGGCCCCCAAAGAGCTCGGAACATGACAAAAAGTTACCGTTAATCTCTCATCTCCAATCTTCCCTATGCCACAAACGGTGGACCTGCCAGTCCCCCCGGATCCATCCCCACCAGCGAAACAAATACAACCCATCCCAGTTCACATGCAAAAGTTAACAATTACCGACCCCTCCCCCCCCC